AAAAGGAGAATAAGAAAAGATCACAGGAACTGAGCAGTGCCTTAGATGAAATTAAACGCGTAGTTGCACAAAGAATGAACTTGACAACAAATCATACAGGTTTGTGTGTATAAAAATGTACTGTGTTAACTGTTCAAAGTTTTATTTGTTCGTGTTTCTATGATTTTGTGTTTCTTTATCACCAGTGTGGGGAGGAAAATCATTGATTTGATTATATTAGCATTAGGCAGAAGTATCTACTTTTTAAAAGGGTGGGAAAGTAATCTGTAGCCCCTCTTTAAATAGGATCAGTTAGTAACCAAATGAAGGGAAAAAAAGGGGACACAATAGATTGCAGTGCGGTCATAATGGCAAAGCTGTACATATTGCTAATCATGTTTCTTACAATGCTTATCCCTCTTTTACTGCCAACTGCAGAGCACTGAATAAGCTATTTTTAACAGCTCCTACTATGACACTACACCTTGATAAATACTAGGGCTGTGTCTAACCTGGAAGGCAGACACCTCTTCAGATGTCCTGGTGTCCCTCCTGTCTAGGTGGAGTGACATTTGTGGGGGGCCTTCTTGGCCATGAGTGCTCATCCTGCCAGTGGACCCCAGGCACTAAGGTGTGTGTGCTGGGTGCACAGTCTTGTCTCAGCAGGCATACAGACCGCATACAGCTGGGTGCTTGCCTGAATCCAGGAGCTAAGAAGTCCCATGAGGTCTTGCTGGCTAGATACAGCCTTTGTCCACAGTATGTGGGGTGACTGGTGGCTGACAACATGGTCCGTATTCTAAACCTTGTAAGATCATAACCCTGCCAACACTCAAGGATTTGTTTAGGTGCATCTGAACAGTCCCACTGAATTAATATTGAATAAACAGACAAAAAGAAGAACAGTCTAAGAAACAAAGCTGACTACACAAGGCAGGAAAGCACCTTGTTCCTTCTTCCCCTCTAAAAGTCCTTGTTAATTCCCTGTTTTAATCTGATACCAGCCCACTGTACAGAATGCAAATAAGAATTTTTTAAAAGTAGTTTTCAGTAGCATCTAGACTCTTAGAAGTCAGGGGTGTTGTGGAATGCCTCACAACAAGCACAGAGATGCCCATTCTACTTTTCTTTCTCTCCCCTGGGGAAGTAGCTCTTCCAGCTAAAAGGGAGGAAGTCAGATCCTGCACTACTGTATCACTCCTTTTAGAGGACAGAATCAAATAGTCTAAGCTATTGTATGCAACTACAATGTACAGATAGATCAGATAGATGGGGATGTACAACAATCTGTAAGGCAAGGAGCTAATATATTTTTTAGTAAAAAAGAAGTTTAATTAAACAATGGGAAGAAGCCAGGTCACCAGAGTAAACTTAACTGCATGTTGGTGTCTGTCTTAAACGAAATAAAATTGGAGAAACCCTCCTCAAAGGTTTTCTTTTAATTGGCATCACTTACAAGCATTCACATTTCCTTCAGATTATTAATAAACTACCTGCAAGATAGGCTGTCAATGTGATTTTGTTGGCTAAAACTAGTTGAGGCAGTGTTCTCATATCAGCAATGCCCTAGCACCAGTGTCTTTGTACAACAGATAAAGTGTCTGGAGGAGACACCCATTGAAGTATGAATTACCACAGAGAAATTCATAGGAGGTGTACTTTTCATTTGGGGCATGAAGACACACATGTTGCAGTAGCTAGTAGGATACAGAAAAAGTCAGCAAGAGAGAATGACGGACAAAATTCTAGTGCAAGAGCCATATGCTGCCTGTGGAAGAAAAGCAAGATTTAGCCTTAGCTGGTAAATAAAGTCTGGAGTGATCTTCAGTTCTGTTTCCAAGCAGTTTTCTTAATGATGAGAAAGACTATTTGCTATTCTTTGTTGTCCTGGTTTCACCTGTAAGTTATTTTTCTCCTTCCTAGTAGCTGGTGCAGTGCTGTCTTTTTTACTTTAGTCTGAGAGCAATGCTGATAACACACTGTTGTTTTATTTGCTGCTCAATAGTGTGTACTCTGATCAAGGACTTCTCAGTCTCTCATGCTCTGCCAGTAAGGAGGGGCACAAGGAACCAGAGGAAGCAGAGACAGAGCACCTGACCTGAACTAACCAAAGGGGTATTTCATACCACAGTGCATCATGCCTAGTGTATAAACTGGGGGGGAGTTACCCAGAAGGCCAAGGTCACTGCTCAAGTCGGGCTGGGTATTGGTCGGCAGTTGATGAGCAATTGTATTGTGCAGACTTTTGCTTATTGTTTTTTTTTCCCCTTTTAGTTTTATATTCTCTCCCCCTGTTATTTCCCTTATCATTATCAGCATTGGTGATAGCAGTAGTGGTTTTGTGTTATACCTTAGTTACTGGACTGTTCTTATCTCAGCCTGTGGGAGATACAGTCTTTCAGTTCTCCTCCCCACCCTTCCAGGAGCAGGGGGGAAGAAGAGGGGGAGTGAGGGCTGTGTGGTTCTGAGGTACCGGCTGGGCTTAAACCATGACAGTCCTTTGAAAAAAAAGCCTACGGCGCTCCGCTCGGGATTCCCAGGCAGTCTCCCACCCAAGTACTAACTGATCCTGACCCTGCTCTAGCTGCCCAGATCAGATGAGATTGGGCATTCTTAGGGTGGGACGGCCGTAGGCAAAAACACATGCACTATTTGCAGCAGCATGCCAATTCTCAGCAAAAGAAGCAGGCAAGTTTCAGAGGTATCTAAAGGATATTCAAAACCTCTAGAATTCTCAGGTGCTGCTATAAATAGCCTGGAGGGGAAGTGGAGGGTGTGAGGGAATGTCTCCTTCATAGGTTGACCCTCCAAGAAGGAAAAAAAAAGATGTTTAATTGCTAAAAATTCCCATTATATGCCTCCCAAAGTATAGAGGTGATGACCACACCGAGAATGCATAATGGATCAGTCTCATGATCAATGATTCTATTGTATTACAAGTCATTACCATGAAGTACAGCAAAACAAGAACCTTAGCTCAGGCCCCCCAGCTGATAAACGTTAAAACAGCAAACAGTGGCTGCAAGTAAGATATGACATGCTGAAACTCTGAGGCCAAGCTCAACAACTCTGAGAGCAAATAAATCAACATCCTAATAAGTGATAATTAACCCGATCAATGAATGTTTATCACAGATACAATTAGACACACTCTGGTCAGATCTGTCATTATCTCAAGCCTTCGAGCCCCACCTTAGGTGCCAAAAAGAACTGCGGTTTAAGCCCAGCCGGTAACTCAGAACCCTGCAGTGGCTCAATCACTTTCCCGTAATTTCCTCCCTCCCGCTCCTGGAGGGATGGGGAGGAGAAATAAAAGAATATAACTCCCACGGGTTGAGATAAGAACAGCCCAGTAACTAAGGTATAACACAAACCACTACTGCTACCACCAATAATAATAATGATAAGGGAAATAACAAGGGAAGAGAATACAACTGCTCACCACCCACTGACCAATACCCAGCCCCACCCAAGCAGCAATCTAGCCCTTCTGAGTAACTCGCCACAGTTATATATACTGGGCATGACGTGCTGTAGTATGGAATACCTCTTTGGCTAGCTTGGGTCAGGTGTCCTGTCTCTGCTTCCTCCCAGCATCTTGTGCCCCTCATGGCAAAGCATGAAAGACTGAAAAGTCCTTCATCAGGGTAAGCACTACAACTTAAACATTGGTGTTATCAGCATTGTTCTCAGACTAAGAAAAACACAGCATTGCACCAGCTACTAAGAAGGAGAAAAATGACTGCCACTGCTGAACCAAGGACATTTGTAAATATAGTCTTAATTTTAATCCATTCAAATACTTTTGTTAAAATTGCATGGTGCATATCATCTCTGCCGCTATTACATTAAGCACAACTTTCTTTATAATTGATTTTATAATTATTTTAGAATTAACTTTTCCAAGTTTTTTATTAGATTTATTTGAAGAATTTTTACCACCACTGGAATGTTCAGGAATGTTTATAGCAAGGAAGATAGATTAGTGAATTAATGGTATCTGGGTTTTACATGGCTTATATAAAAAAAAAATAGGATTATTTTTGTAAGGTCACACTTGAGTTATTTCAACATGAATAAATATTATTTTAATCTTTATTTTAAAATAATAAAGAAAAAATATTTCTTACTTTTAACTACTACAGTCTTTTGCTTTTCAAATAGTTTCTAAAGGCCTGGATCTGGTTCTCCTTTTTGCCATAGGATATTTTAAAACCTGAGAACTTCTGTTTGAGCCCTGAGACCACGATGTGTTATATTTTAGGGGAACCATTTAAGTTTGTTAAGTAATTAAGAAAGTTATCAATCAGAATCTGTGTTCCTTTAATTAAAAAAGGTATTTTTTTTTCCTGTTGCTTTTAAAATAACTGCTCACTGTGTTTCAGGATGGCTCAATCCTACAGCTGTTCAGGCACAGGGAGCTGTGCACCATTGCCTGGGGCATGGGGGGTTGTACTGGGCCATTCTCAGTTTATTAGCAGAGGAGGGCAACATATGATACAGAATCACTTCAGAGAAAGGCTTTGGATTGATTAACAGTGTGTGTAGTAATCTGATAGTATTCAGTTGAGGAAAACAATTTAAATAATAAGCTTCGCTGCTGGCTCTTTATATGTGTGTTATTTCTTTAAGATGATATGAAGTGGAAAGTGTTAAACTTCACCAGAAAACTCCCAGTGCATCTTATAAACATGTACTGCTATCTACCTCACCTTCAAGAATATGAAGATGCTGTTTTCCCAAATGTTATTTTTGGGCAACAGAGAACTGGAGGTAGGAAATAAAGTTTGGCTTATATTTTCTATGTGTTTATATTATATATTAAGTTCTAACAATGAAGCATACTCAAAGTTTGGAGTGGGTTTTCCCCTGAAATTTATAATGCTGCCAAAATGAATGGATTTTAATGGGGATGGCAAAAGGACTTCTACCACACCCCTCCCAATTTCAAGTTTCTACCCTGAAGTATTCTGATAAATCTTTTTAAATATCAACAAAAAATAGTCATAATTGAGAAAAAATACTGGTTTTATTCATATATTCATATGGCTGAGATGCATTAGCTGACATTTTTTCCTCTAAAATGAACATGAATGAGGAAGCCAAGGAGAATTCATTATGTACTCGGTTTGCTAAAGTTAGAAGCAAATGGAAAGGTGATGAGATTCTTTAAAAGATATTAATAAATCTTCAGTGTAACTTTTTCATCCACATGCAAAATCAGCTAATACCTGCACAAATCATAATGAATTCTGTTGAAATCTAATACAAAATATACAGTTACATCTTCTCCTAACTCTCATGTGATAGTTAAAAAGAACTTTCATAAGCAATAATAAGGAACTCATCAACCATTTTGCGGGGGTTTATGTTTTGTTGAAATTATGACCCTCCTCTAGGGTGATTTTATATAAAGAAACATTGGCAGCATTTTTGGCTTAACTGAAAAACCAACTTGGCCATGCCCATGACAATGGATAACTTTCTGCAGCCTTCTCAATTGTAGGTGCACCTGTAGCAATGTGATCTAGTGCTGGAGTTCTCACTGGAGTGCCCATAGATCTGTCAGTCTGAAAAAGACCAGAGGTTGTCAGCAAAATGATTTGCAAAAGACCCTCAGAAAACCAAATACATTCACAAACAAGGGGGACGGGAAGGAAGGAGGAAGGAAGAAAAGTAATAAGTAATGAAAGAATGCTCCATGTTTAGTTTCTATTTATTCATACATTAAAATCACAACAGCAAGACCTCTGTTTACAGATTGATCTTAAGTGTGTAAAACCAAACAAACCCCCAGTAGTTTAGCAGGTTATGTGTTGGGAATGAATGCTGGAGTGCTGGCATTTTGAGCTATCACTGGCACAGATGATGAACTGCAGCTACTCCTTCAAAATCTGCTGCTTCCTTCCCAGACCCACGAGGTTTTGTGAATAGCAGTCATCTGTAAGGAGTAAGAATTCCACAGGTTTACTGAGCTGGATTAGGTCCCTGGTTTAGGCAATGACCATACCAATGGAAAAAGCGAGAACCTGTTTACAATCTAACGATGTAATTCAGCATAGGTTTGCCTCTAGTGGAGTCTCTGCCAGAGGTAATCTTAGTTCATTCTTCTTGATAACGTCTAAGCTCCTTTTTTATTATTATTTTGTCAAAGCCATTGAGTCACATCAATTAGACTGCTCAGAAAGATTTTTTGAGTTGGATTTCTTTCTGAGATATACGGCACTCACCTCCTGTGAACACTTGCTCATTAGAGCAGGGTTGGTTTAACTCTTACAACTCAGATCTCCAGCTCCATACCAAGAGCTAGCACTTTTGCAGTACCCACTTTCAATAGAAGATACCTGTGTGTTTGCCAGAGGTAGTAGTATCTCCTAATATCTCCAAGTTCTCAAATGTTGAGTCTACACAGTGTAGACCTGGTGCTTCTAACACAGACACAGGTGACTCTAACCTAAACTTAGCTGGAGGTATCTCTCCTTCCAGGTAGCAAAGCAAATGCTGTGACAGTGCTATAGGAATATTAACTGTCACTAAGTCTGTTGGTCACATCAAATAAAAATTAAAATGTAGTTCCAGTTTCCCTTTACCTGACTTAAGGTTATGTGGCTTGTGGACTTCTTTCTTTGCAGTCTCACTGGTGATGGGTATCCCTACTGTGAAAAGGGAAAAACAACATTATCTGATAAGTACACTGCATTCCCTACTGTACGAACTTTCTGAAGAGGAAAAGAATGACTGCGTGATAATCGTCTTCATAGCAGAGGTAAGTTTGTGTGGAAAGGTGCAGTATGCTGACAGAAAGACAATATAGATATTTATGTCTTAGTGTAATAGTGTAGGACACTGCAAAATACTGCTAGCTAGGTCTTTGGGAAGGATTTCTTTAAGTTTGGAGGAGATACTGAGCAGTTAGTGCTTCAGTGTTCATATCTGGAAAAAACCTTGTAACTCAGATGATCAAAGGGTAAAAAGTCATATGACATTTACACAGCTGTTGCAGTCAGGTTTTCAAATAAATATGAACTCATTATTTATCTCTCAAAGTATTCTGCTTCAAGAATGAAATGTAAATCCTCCACAGAAAAGTTCTGTAGAACTGGAAAAAAAGTAAACTTATTCAGCCTAACAAAAGTTCAGATTATTTATCTGCTGTTTTGATATTGTCTTATCTTGCAAAGTACCTTGACATGCTGGAGCCTTGCCTTTTGCCTGTGTATTGACATGGGTTGTGACAAAGAAAACTGTTCAAAGACTTAAATGGTTCAACACTGGGGAAAGTACACAGTGGTCAAGATAGAATATTAGGGGTAAAGGATTTTTTTTTTTTTTTAACTCATTCCAAAATGTCTTGACTGCATTGGAAAAAAAGCTACAGAAGGGAGTTAGCTATTGATAGCTACTTGCAGGTAAAAAGACTGCAGTTATTCAGACTTGATATTTATTGCTCATATTTCTTTGTCCTTCCATAAACAACATTAAATTTCATACACGTATTCATTAACAGTTAAAGTTTGCTTTTTTAGTTCAGTCATCACATAGAGCAGCTCTTGCAGCTGTAATACTGTCAAACAGAAGATAGTTCACTTTATTAAGTTAGGTCTTGACTTCCATTTTTCAGTTTGGGTCACAACAATAAATAGGCCTAATTTTACTGGCTGTAGTTCCTCTTCAGCATAATTTTCAGGAGCTGAACTTATTTTACAGCTTCTATTTCCCAATTAAGAGCCCTTGCAATGACGAGGTTTGCCTAGCTGCCGTTTAGATAAACCCATTACTGGGCTTCAGAGAGTTCTTTAAGGGTTAACTTCTGAATAGTTCATTCTGAATGTTGATAGTCCTAACCTGGCACTGTAGTTTTGGTTGTAGTAATAGTCCATTTCAGCCAATTTAGGATTAAACTCCTGTTTTAAGAATCAGTCTCTTCCCTTTCTCCCTTTCCCAAAGTCACATTCCTGCAGCTTCCATTTCTCAGCCATGCAGTAAATTAGAGCAGGTTGATAATGAGAGGTGATAAGAACATTTTATTATGAGAGTATGGCAGGTGTGTTCGCTGATCATGAAACTAGACCTTCCTTTTTCCCATAAAGTTACAGAAGATCAAGTTAAATGTTTACATTATGAGTTAAGGCAGAGTAACTTATTGACTGAAAGTGAATTGAAAAGCTGTTGGTATTTTTCTTATCGCAGTTCTTTACTTACCACTTCACATCATTTTTAATTATTACAAATTCAAAGTATAGCTGCTAATGATTATTTGTGTGTATTAAAAATAAAAGGTCCTGACTGCTAAGACAGGTGTTGTATCACTTTGGAAATCGCACCCATAAAACTTAGCACTCTTTAGTATAATTAAGAGATGTGTTTTGCACACTAAAAATGTTACTTTTATGAAACAGCAGCAATGAATAAGTACGTCCTCAAAATTCCCAGACCAAGAGCTTTAAGTCTGTTATATTAGGAAGAAACTCTAAATAAAACTTTTAAGTATTGCTAGTTTAGAAAATTTTGCTTAGGTGACTTTTCTCAGCAGCCTCAGGCCTCTCTTGTGATTTTTGGATGAGTAACCTGAAACAGCACTTTTTACTGACAGTTATATGATCATGCTTAACTTAAAGCTGTAGAACAGAATTTTATGCAGAAAATGCTTGTCCTGCTGCAGAAACAGTGAAAAGACAAAATGCAGAAACCATAGCTGGAGATAGTTCTGTTTACTTTTCAACTACATTGAAAGCTCAGTTGGCTCGAAAACCCCATCCTGTCCTTTAGTAGAAATGCTGCTATAACCTATTGCTTTTCTTTGGAATTAAAAGAATTAGAGGATAAAAATGAAGTGTTTACATATAAATATTCCCTACAAAATATTGCTTAGTACAAAAATGGGTGACTTGAAATGAACCCCCACTTCTTTTCTTTAGGTGAATGCAGAGTATGTTAACAGTGTTGCAGAAAGTGTTAAAACCAGGTAAGTCCTATAGAGTATATAGACTACAACAGCCAGCAAACACATTTTGAACTTATATGTAAAGAATTAGAGCATTTCAACAATAAACTTCAACTCTACCATCCTGAAATGAAGCTGCTAAGAAATGAGGCAAAGGTGCACTCTTATTACGTGTATTGTAACACACTGAAATTCAGAACAGAAGCATGTGTCAGTTTATTTTCCTGTTATTATTTCATAAATACACGTTAACTAAGCAGACCAGGTCTCAGCTTAAGCCTCTGATAAATATTTACTCGAACCTAAGTCTTTTCACCACAAAATTAATGATGCAATTCAAGGCACCTGAGGCTACATGTATTAGGTCCCCATGGAGTTCACAGCCCTGCAGTGTATTCTGATGTCTGTTATGTTTCCTAGGTGTCTTTGTTTCCTCATTTGCCTCTTTTTCATGGAGGCAATGGACTTTGGACAGCAGTGGGGTAATATTTGTAATGTCAAATACTATTATATAATGGGTAACATGAGATGGGTATTCTTTGCCATGCCAAATTAATATAAGATCTGTCAAACAAAGGCCTGGTTCCCAATGCAGTTTTGCTTGCTTTTATCATTCTTTCCTAGAGGTGTACATAGCATCACATGCATGTTAAAAAACCTTAGAGCAGCTTGAGAGGAACAACTACTGAATTAAAATGTTTGAGGAAAAAATACACTTATAGGTAGATTTATTTTGTCTAACAAAAGCTGCTTTCAGAGAAAAGCTATAGTGTAGGTAACAGTCACAAAACAGATAAGGCCCTGAAGTGCAGCTGACTGAAAGAAGCTTATTTCTCATCAATCATAGGGAATGGGGAACTCTGTTCTGAAAACTCCTTATTTCAGTGATCCTGTACCTATTAAAAACTGAAGTGTTTTGTTTTGAATTTTTTTTGTATATTTTGGAGAAAGGGAGAGATTTGGCTTCCAGGTTTGGCTACTAAAATTGATTACACATTTTTTTTAAACAACTTTTTAAATGGAAAACTTAATCTTTGGAGCAGAGACTAGATCCAGATTCCCCATACCAAAGCCCCACTCCAGGACAGTATCATTTTAGCTAGAATATGGCATTAGAGTTAGAGCAAGTGTAAGGAAGCTAGGCACTCTTGTGCAAGGGGAAACAGTTGTGTGTAGTTCTAGATAGTGGATTTGGTTGTGAATTACTGCTGTGTTTTGGCAACCATATCAGGATTATGAGTACCTGTAAATGCAGGAGGGGCAGGATTTCTGAAACAGCCTTCTCTTCAGTGTTTTCTGAGACTTCAGTGTGTTACTGTCCTGTCTGTTCTGATGGTTGACAAAGACCTCTTCTTGGTTTCCTAATCTACGTGACTTCATTTCTTTGCTAGAGTTGTGAATTCCATTTATGGAGGAGCAGGCCTAACCCTCGGGAGCTTCTGTGATTGCCTTCAAAAATCTTTTTGAGGAATGGGGTCTCACTAAGCTTCTCTTCACAGCTTCCCCAGAGAAATCCAGTCTGGAGTCCTAGAGGTTATTTCTCCTCCTGCTTCTTATTATCCAGATCTTTCCAACCTGAAGCAAATGTTCGGAGATCCAGAGGACAGAGTAAGGTGAGATAGCTCTATAAAAGCTAAGACTATAAAATGGAAAATTTGGCAAATGTCAACATTGAGCTGATAATGTTTTTGTATTTCACAGCAAATGGACCTCAAGTGTACTTTAAAAAAAAGTTATTACACATGGGGAACTTGAGAAAAGCTATGCTGCACATCAGTTTCAGGGTGAGAGCCAAGGCTTCTCCTTTGGGTCTTGACTCTAGGTACTTTAGGTAACCAGATGGGTAATGCCAAGAGGTGATAAGATAGATTATCTGGTCATAAAGATAAAAATAGGGATATCTTTCATATGACAGAAAGGGAGAGGTTCTGTGACCACACAACAGAAACCCCACAGGGCCCCTTACCTGACTAATAACAACTACTGTGAGTTTAATGACCTAACTTCTGGTAATCATGGACTTTTTATACTACTGTAAATATTATATCCTAGCTAGTGAGTTCATTCACTCATGGCTCCCAGATTCACTGAGACAGATTATAACCTAACAAAGTTGATTTATTGGAGGACAGTAATTTTCATTCGTTTAACAATAACTACCCCAACAATGCAGTGGAGGAGCTGCAGTACTGGAGTTCAGGTTGGAGGAGATCAGCGAGTACATGTATGCATACGTATTTTGTAGTATATCTTGTAGAGCATAAACATGTTTACATACTTACACTTAAGTTTCAGTTATTAGATTTGAATACACTTTTATGTTACTTAAGTAATAATAAATTGCTCTGGAGTCTTTTAGTATTGATTATCAAACATCAGCTTCATCCTCAGGTAAAATGAAAGACTGTACTTTGTAGGGAAAAATGTGTATTTATGTTTAAACCTGGAAAGTTTATCAACCTGCTTCTTTGTTGTTCATCAGTAAAAAGCACTCCATTTTTGATCTTTAAATAATCATTGTGTGTTGATCTCTGCTGTTCATAATATATTGAGTAGAATCTTTAAGTCATTTGGCATGAATATACTTGTTAGACATTTTGTTTCAGGTTACATTGGTACAAATAACATTTTTTTGCTTAGTTTATGATAACTTATGGGAATTATTTACAAATGTTTAAACTGATTATAGAGGAATGTATATTCACTTAGTAT